CTCCGAGAGACGGTTATTTCGTCGCGTCGCTGTGTCGCGCATACACAACGACTTCATCTCACTAACTGATTTACAGTTATCGTTCGCAGCAAATATAGAAAACCGTAAAGATTAACATCTTTATTAACAGCGCGCACAGCTCGTTTCCCGCGCCCGTCGAAATCTCATTGGAGTGCGCTCGAGGGGCTCGTTCCGGCCCGTACAATCATGCCGGCCCGACAAATCGCGGTTTTATTTTAACGATCGACCGCAGTCCGCAACAGAGCGATCGGCGGTTTCATCGTTGTACGGTGCTGCGCCGTCATTGAACTGGGATTACGTCAATCTGCGCTCACAAAGTTCGTCAAGGGGAAGCCCGTTCGCGCGCCGACGATGGAATAGAGGCGAAAACGATCGCTCGTGGTAGTGGCAGCTCATTCAAATTGGGAATTAAACTGCGACAACAAGGCGCGAAAAGCGCATTTTTTTCGTATTAAATTGCCCAGGCTATCATTCATCGACACCGTAACCGAGATCGAAACGCGCGTACTAACACTTTGTTAATTGCAATCGAGATTTTTACAATTATCTTTTTTCATTATTTAATTTAAATATATCATAATATTTGCAATTATCAATGTATTTGTATTTTATACATCATATTTTTTATTAAATAATACGAAATGTTTAAAACATTATACAAGAAATTATCTTTTAAAATTGCAAAAATAAATTTTGTAGATAATTTTACAAATAATGCCGAATAATGTTTTTTTTTTCATTTATAATTTCAATGACAACAATAACAAATAACTCTTTATTAATTACAAAATTATTATGTATATTCAACTTTTTCCATTTTATCAAACGTGCTCTTTTCGGATAAATTATTGAAATTATTTTCTGAAATACCGCGTAAATAAATTCATTCCGATTTGGTTAATACACAGTTGTGTGTCGCCCGGCATTTCATATCGACTATTATTATCCCGTACTGTGCAATATCATTTATTCAGCGCTCCGTCCCATCGGCGTCAACTACAGGGCGCAAGTCTTGTCCAACCATGACGAACTACTTCCTCGTAATGAGCGTAGACGAAATCTTCTCGCGCGTATTATTAGACGGCAAAGGTAAAACAACCACTCATTTCGTCAGGTGCAATCTGTCTCTGTCACTATGCAATAACTCTCCCCGCTCGCTAGAAAGAGGCGTGGCTTCCCTTTCCGTTTTCGCGGAATAACGAGTTTACCTTCATCGAGATCATCGCGCATAACACATTTCCCGGATTGAGCAATTTCAATTCTTGGATTCGTATTTCAAAAACGACTGATTTTATTAGTTTTACATCTTGATAGAAGTAAAGATACCCGTAATACGTTTCGCGCGCATTGGAACGTTCTCACTCCGCACGCCGCGCGATTCGATTGGATTCGAATCGATCCATCGGTATCCGAGCGTGGTTAATCTATTACCGCGGTGTAAACATCGCAAGGATACACACAGACGTATTTGCAATTAAATTCGATCACGACTGCGCTATCTCTCTGGGAAGTGGAGGCGCGGCGGTCAATTAATGATCCGTAAAAACGATAGCACGTCTCGAATCTGCTCGAGGTACGAACTCTCTCTCAACTCTTTCCATCGTCAAATATACGGTTAGACGCCTACACGCGCGCACGATTCTCCTCCTCCTCCTCCTTCTCCTCCTCGCTAGATTCCGGATGGAGGCGTTAGGATTAATTCGTGTCACGACATAAGTGGGAATGTGGACTCCGAGCCGCAGACACGAACACGTAACTTAATTTCGAAGACCCGAACTTCCGTCTATTTGCATCGCGCGGAATACGATCGTTTCTAATTAACCTTTTATTAATCTTTTTGCGAAATCGTCTGCTTTGCAGAATTGCGAATTATTTATTCTCAACATAAGATTGATCGATCGTTATTCTATACTGCAATATTGCAATATCATTTATTTATTTTTTTTTTTGCATTTAATAATGAGTAATTAATACATGCTGAATGCAGTAATGTATCTATTTTATAATTTAGATTTGTATATTTCGTATTAAAAGTTTTAAAATGTCGAGATTAACGAACTTCTTTTTCTAATGATCCACCTTTAACAGATACACATTAATTTTATAGCACGTCGATAATTCAGGATTAAAAATTAGCCAAGGCGTGTATATATATATATATATCCGAGAAACATTTTTCATTAACAATTCTTAACTTGGGCGACATCTTGTCGGCAACTTCTTTCTTTATCTTACCCGTACAAAGCGTTATCCGATCAATACACTCTGCTTCTTCTTTTTGTCGGCGCTCGATGCTCACGTTCGCGTAGCCGCGGAAATATCTACGTGCTAGCAATACATGTGTGCGATAACTCGACGAACGGTGGACATTACCGCGACGGGCGGTCTACACGGCGCGGGGACACAAAATTACAACCGGCTGCGTTTACGTGACTTCCGTTGTACTCACACACGTACGCGGCGCGCGGTGGCCGCGCTGCTAAGGCATTTCCTACGACAATTATCGTTTGCCCCGAATTGATCGTAATACAAAGATAACCGTTAATAACTCAATTCCCGGTGCGAGGCGTGCTAATGGTACATCTGCCCTGCGCTGTCTCACCCGGTATCGCGCGGTATCGTACATATTAACGAGAACACCGAGCTCTTCTCGGGCATTTATCGCGAACGAATTAATTTTAAGATCCAGCACAGCCGGGGTTAAGCTCGATCGACCAACTGATTGACGTTTCATTTAACATGAACTCTATTCGCGGAACATAGCGCAATATAGAACCACGTTATGAACTATTATACATTTAAGTAGTAAAATGTAATACTTTTGCAGTATTATTAAATATAATATGTGTGTGACAAAGTATTTTTTTCCATTGGATCGAACATCCGAATCACATATAATGCGTCGTCAATACTTATGCAGGAGATAGAACGAAATGCGTAGGATTCCAGATTGTTACCGCGGAAAATCTCTTTCACTGCGATGGTTAAAGCTCAAACAAAGGGAGAGACAAATTATTCGTCGAAGGGACCGGTGAAAGGGGACCGAGAAAATCGCTTGTGTTCGCCGTACCGGCGGTTCAATTTGTCGGAGGCTTTTTGGGACCGGGAACGGCAGCCAGGAACGTCGTATCTAAATCCGGACATGGGCGTAAGGGGATGCACATTGGGTGGATGGCCCAGGGGCGACGTACATTCGTTGGCGTAACCGGGCGGTGGGTGGCGAGCGAGGCGGGGAGGGGGGGAGGGAGAACGCGCGAGCATATGGTTAAACCGTAATGGTAGGGGTGATATATTTAAACCTGGCAAAGTTTGGTGCTTGGCTCTAACGCGGGGCGCGCTGGGCGTGCCTCGCATAAGTTTACATTATCTTACCATCTGATAGCAACTGTAGCGGCCCAGGCTCTCTCGCGCGCGAAGCGAGCCAAGAGGTCGGCAGAAATTTGGCCCTCGAGAAATCACCTTGGAATTATCGATAGCGCCCTTTGCGCGGTGGTATAAAAATATATATCTGCGTGAGAACGTCGTTAAGTTCGTGTGGACGATAAAATATTGACGGCATCCAATACGGTGAAGATTATTTATATGTTTGCGATGCTTATATGTTTGCAAAATAAAAATAAAAATTTTAGATTGATTTAATTGGTCTTGAAATATTTGCATGCAAAAATAGGAATCGATAACTCATTCCATTTTATGACGCTACAATACGATCGCGTTTCTTTTCGCGAAATTAATGTGCGTTTCTTGGAACGCGGGATCGTTACCCTCGCCGATGCAAAAGATACAGACCGTTGTGTGCTGTTTCGATCGCATATACACACACTCGCGTGCGAGTATCACGCCAAGTGTTACGCTATCTCTCCAATCTAATTACCGTGCCCACGTATAATTTGATACAATAAAATACATTTCGTCCGGCGGTTTGCCCAAAGGATTGCTGATCCTTGCGATTGATTTTTTCCCCTTCTCCCCTTCATTTAGTCGCGAGAATGTCGACGACGTCTTCGGGCGATGACGAAATTCAAGAATACTCAACTCGAAACTAGCTTCGCCAAACGAGACGTGATTACTCGAAGAATCAAACTCGAAAGTCTCGTCAGTTAAGAAGCATAGAAGTTAGTGGTAAGCCAAACACCGTCTCTCGGACTATGTTCCACTCTCTTTCTCTCTCTTTCTCCCGCCTTTTACTTCTACGACGTTCTGTTTCTCTCGCCCTCATTATAAAACAACCAATTAATCTGAACTCAGTAAGAGGATCAGCAGATAATGAATGCAATAAAAATATACGCGCCAATAACAATAGCGAACTTGAGCGAAATATGCTAAGAGGCTTAACGAACCCTCGTTCCCGCTACATTTTCTCCGCCTTCCGCCTCGTTCTCGATATCATTGTCTCTCGTCGGCTGACTCGAGATTTACGGGAAAGAGCGACTAAACGGCGCGATTGTTTGTATAATATAATCCATCGAAGAAACTGTTCTCGCGACTTTGAGCATCGTTGAAACTTAAAATTAGCAGATTTATCGTCGCTGCCAATACACAAAAAGATAGCGATCAATAGGTACTTTCACTCCAATCGAAAAAGGGAGATTTATAGTATGCTCATAACAACTGAGCAATGTGGCGAATTCTATTAAATCACAAATATCGCACACTTATTTTCAATTAAGTAGTAAAAACGCAAGTGTGTGTGTGTCGAAGTTGTTACTTCGTGACGCGATGCGTGATAATGTTTCGCGTTATTCGCAGAATATCCTCGCGTAACGTCGTTTACATACCGTACCGTCGCGCACCGTCATTAGTCGGAATCGATTTCATAGCGACGAGCATTAATAAAACCAGCTAAACAGCTGCCGGACAACACGGCGGCACGTAATACTCGTGCGGCCGAATTACCTCGAGGGAAAGGGTATACTTCGCGAACACGCCATTGCGTAATTATGTACTTTACCTCGTTAAGAATATTACTTTACCTTATAAATCGTTAACTGCTCTCAAATAGGTGTCACTGTTTATTGATATGTTCGGTAAATTTCTGCCGATGAGGAGTATCGCTGAAAGCAATCGTCGCCCGGCGAGAAATATCTGTAAAATCCTCGGAATATCTGTAATTTAACAAAAAAATAGAGAAATTTTGTTAAAACTTTTAATCTGTTGTAATAACATAATAAAAAGTATGTTCCAAAACTCTTTTAATTTGAACAAATTCGTAGCTTTTTATTTTGCAATATGGCACGCTTAAATTTGAAAACGCGGACGAGAATGGAGAAGTGCGACACAATTACGTTTTATTTTATTTTCGCTGAAAGCTTATACCGAACTTAGTGCAATTTTGACGGAGATACTGTGAGAATATCTCTTGCAAACGATTCGGCCATAAACTCGCACCCTCCTTATTGTAGCGCCCTCATTTATCAGTAAGGGATCATTGCTGCCAGGTTTATCCGTATTTTTCGCAGCGAGGAATGGACCAACGAAGACATTATGATGCTGGTTCCGAATTTACGAGAGCGGTAGCGACGAATTACAGGAGAACATCGTTACTTCGTGCACGACTTCGCCGCAGGTGCGCCGCCCGCCGTACGATATATTCGACCCCTCTAAATCGTCGTGCACGACCTCTCGAGATATTACCGTGGCGCGGTGGCGGCTACAGGGGGACGGAAAGGAGATCCGCCGAGGATGAGTGTGTGTGTGTGTGTGTGTGTATGGTAGACGAGACAGGGGGAGGGGAGGCAGGTTGGCCGGTATAAATTGCATCGTGCGGTCGACGAAGCGCGGTCGAAATTGGGGAAATTAAGTTCGCCGTGTATAGGGGCAGTCCCCGGCTATACACCGTTGTAGATGGTACACAAAGAGACCACCGCGTCATGTGGTAACCCCGCGCGGTCCATGTAACCTCGATGTCGATGTCGAGGTCGGCGTGCGGAAAGAGACGAGCGCAGCGGGATACCAAGATACCCCGGACCGGCAATCTTTCGCATCGACGACTCTTGCCTCCTGTTCTCGCGATTAAATATATATTTACGCCGCGGCGACATATGGCCGGAAATCCAAAATATTCCGGCTCGGGCGAAAATAAGGCGCATCCGTCTAGACGTATTTTACTACCAAAAGCGCGCCGGTCGTTTCGGGGCCGCTCTCGACGTCGTTCGACGTTAAACGCGAGAAAAAGATCGACGTTCAGTCGTTTTTTTGTTTCCCTCCATATTTCCATAAGAGATGGAATCGGACTTCTCCGCGTCGAATTTCACAAAGATATCGCAATAGTTTCGATGAACGCGACTTCGTATTTCCAAACGAACGTGCGTTCATACTGAATCGTGAGAATTGTTGGCACGTATGAACAAAACAAAGCTGAAAATACTTTTCCGCCGACGAAAGGTGTTCTTTTATTTCGTATGCGGTCGAAAGAAAAGTCTCGCGTGGGAAATTTTATCGATCGTTCGAATACACTTTCAGGATCATGTCACTTTCACGAAATGAATAAATTAGTCTGTTTTATTTAAAAAGTGTTTCAAATTGCAACCTCTGTCTTTTTTCTCGCAACATCTTTTGTTCTTGCATTGTCTGCATTTTTTAATAGTAAAACAATAATAACGTCCAAATTATGTTAAACTTTGAATAATGAAAGTTAAAGTTGATATTAATATTGAATATTATATAGCTGTCTTATCATCTGAACTTTTATGAACTTTAAATGATCTTAAATTTTTCATTTTAAGTCCGATATACATAGATCGCAATACGCGCTATCACCCGAAGTGTTATTGCCATACATCACCGCGCGTTTCCTTTTTCTTTATCACTTCTCTTCCGTTCTCGAACACGCATACGCGTTGCTTAATCGTGACTCGATTTAGAAGAAAAGTTATGCTGGGCGCTGGAGCGAATCAACCGATGAATAGCGGTCTAACTACCGAACTGTTAACGGCACGCGTGCGAGCATGGAAACGCGTTATGAATCGTTTAATTCCATTTCATTCTCAGCGCGGAATCCCGCGCCTCTATTTTCATCCCTCGTGCATACAGTCGCCTCCTCTCTCTCTCCTTTCATCCCCTCGTATCCCTTCCTTTCCCACTGCGCAACGCATCGACGCCATGCAGTCATTGAAAATTGGCTGCCACAAACAACTCCGCACTTTGTTAGCCGCATCGAAAACGACCACACTAAATCGTAAACCGTTCATTCTTTCCCTAAAGCTACTAACACGATAACCAATTTTTTCTATTTTATTTATTTTCCGATTTTTATGCAATTCGAGCTATTTAATGCAACATTTAACGTTGTAAGATTGTAATATGTATGAATCAGATTATGTAATGTAGATGAGCATGAGCAAATAATTAATTATCGCTTTATATTTTTTAAATTAATTTTATACTGTTTACAGATTGAATATTACCTCCGCATTTAAAATATATTATCAAATTTATAAATAAAATAACAATACAGATATTGATTATATACATTAATGAAGGATATAAAGAGTTATAAAAGTTTATAAGTTGTTTTTGGTTATTTTACAATTTGGAACCATTTACGAAATTAATGAATTGATTAATATAAACAAAAAAAAATCTGAAAGCGGTCAATTGCGGCGGATTACATATCATCGAGCAATCATACACACGTGTGGATCGAAAAGGCGCATGATTTTTGCCACGTCGATGATCACGATTTTTCTGTTTTCTATCTCGCGATCTCTATCACAAGGCGCAGTGCCAAGCTAAGCGAACCCCTCCGAAGAACGGAAGCGAGCCGACGGAGCGGAGAGAGTCATAACAGCGCAAAATGAAGAATGACAATCGCGGAGGCGGGGCCGGTCGGAAGAATCAAGCGTAATTTCTCGGTGATGGTGCGCGGCGTCGGCTTTTCAACCCTTATAATATCTTCAGCGTCCCAGTCACGACCCCTATCGCGTCTCTACCCCGCTCACCCCCGCGCCGGCCTCTCTTTCCCGCGCGCGCCTTTCTCTCTACCTTTCGGTTTTGCTACCGGTACACCCTCGCTCCTGGGAATACATTTCCATGCATTTTCCTGGGCCACTCTCGCCCCTCTCGCACTCCTCTTTCACTCCCCTCGCATCTCTTCGCAACCGAGCAACCTGCGCTTCCACCGTCTGCTCTTCAGCCGACAACTTTCGTCACCCTCGCTAACCCTCTCTCCGTCTCGCTCTCTCTCTCCCCCCCCCCCTTGTCTCTTCTTCTCCGCTTTTTCTCCTTTCTTCCTCGTGCTTTAATTACCAACTTTTCCCTGTTTTCCAGAAATTCGCGCTCAAACGAGCAGCTTTTTCGCACCCACAGTGGTTTCTCTTCCGCTCATCCATCCTTCTCTCTTTTTCTATCGTCTATTTCCCACTCTCGCCTTCTCGTCTTGCGATGCCGCTTCTTCGTTTCCTTTTTTGTCCAAATTCGCTTCCGCTCGCCGACGATACATCCAGCAGTCCGCTTTCAGATGCATGCAGTCTCCGTCTGCGAGGATGCATCCTCGTGGAACGCAAATATACACAAGTCGCGCGCCGAACGAGGAAGGATCGGGGAATGTTGTAACGCTCCGCTTTCCATCTCCCGCCGTCTCTCGTCTGCTCTCTTTTGCTTGTTTATTCGTCTCTTCAATCGCTCTCCCGCCGCCATCGCCGCCGCCATCGACAGATTTCGAAATGTGATTTGCCGATGCAACGTATCCGCGTGAGTACACAAGTGACGGAAAACGCCCGAAGGAGACGCGAGTGAGTCCGGTGTCGCATTTCGCAGTCAAAATCAAGATACCTTCGATCATGAAATCCACGAGCGTTAATCTCATTTCAGAGAGAAATAAAAGCTCGATCGATCGAGAAAGCTTCGCGTATATTGAACGCGGTTTCGAAACTGTCGCGAGCATCCGCGCCGGTTGCACGCAAACACTCGGACGTTCGGACGTTTGGTTCGGAAGGACCGCCGGTTTCCAATCGACGAAACTTTCCGCCGAAATACGCGCGATAATTTCGTTAAGTCCGTTCCCGGGAGAGCCCCGAGAGCTGTGGAATGTCCCGATGGAACCGCAACCGTATCTTCGGAACATAAATATAGGGAAAAGCGGCTGACTGGAATAGGCGGCGGGTTGGGGATGGTTAAAAGTTTTCTCCGGTTTAACGATCTGCTCGTTTGAACCCGGAAGTTGAGGCTCTCTCTCTCTCCCTGTCTTTCTCCGCCCTCTCTCTCTCTCTCTCTCTCTCTCTCTCTCTCTCCGTCTCTGTTTCTTCTGTCCGTTTCTCCTTTTTTTGCGTCTCTTTCCTTTCTGCTCTTCCGACGTTTCCTCCGCGTGCACTCCTATCTCCGCTCGCTCCCGCGGACTCGTTTTCCAACGTGCATTCTTATTTGCGGCTGATGGTAATGGGTACGTAAGGAATGGTCAGGAAAGCCTGCGCGATCCTCAACAAGCTTGCTGCTTCCGACGGCCTCTTTAACTCTCGACAGGGCCGCTTTCACCGAGGAATACCGGCCATCGTTATCATCCGCCGATTCAGCGGGCGATGCTATCGCTCGCGGTGCTGCACACCGACGCTGCACGCTTCTTGATGCTCGTTACGGTGTGATATTTCGACGAGATCTGCCGCAGCATAACGGCGATAGCGATGAAATCGATCCGATGGAAGATACGCGGACGGCTTGTTCGCGCGATGGAAAAGGGTTGACAAGCACGTGCGATTGTCAGTGCAATAGCGATTGTTTGTTGCGAGCGAGCGAAGGCGATATGTCACACTCTGACGAACGCTAAACTATCTAATCCATAAATCGTCATACCAAGCAACGTCCATTGTCCATCTTTTTTTTAGCTATGAATTTTTTTATCAAGTTGGTCTCAACTTTTATCGCGGTTTTTAAATGCGTTTAAATAATAAGAGCTTACATTTTATTTAACTTGAATTGTGAAAAACAGGGCTTAAAATTTTTAATTTTCAAGCGCCGGTGTATGTCACGCGTCGCCATAACTCTTCAATTACTTCGTCTCACGTCGCGCTTATTTTTTCCGCTCGGGGCTGTAAAAGCCGCGCGCGAAATGCCCGCCGGAAACACGCGTGTGGGCGTGTTTCTCGAATACTTGGGGTAATTCCCAAAGAGA